TTCGGTACATGTGTGTGGTGATGGGTTGTAATTAGTATTTTGGTGGTGAACATGATGTAATCTATGCAGAAATAGAAGTACAATGATGTACATCTATATTAGCTTTTAATGAGTAAATAGATTCATATAAACCTTTCCTGTCTTTTCCTTTCACTCGAGTGGGTGAACTTAAAAATTGTCATTTTCCCCTTGGTTAATTGGTTACTGAATTCCAGTAATCTCTGGGGGTGGTAGTAGTCATGGAGCAAAATTTGTATCAGGCAGAGATTGGTTTTAGAATCTTTGAGATATAGCTTAGCTTTTCTTTGCTTTGCAGGGCCGAGAATGAACCCACTTTGAACCTGTTGAATGGAATTGCTCTTGTCGTAAACTATCAGCATTATGTGAGGTGAAGGGGAAAAGCATTGTTGTTTCTCTGCGTGTTTTACTCTCCTATTATGAGTATGAGTGTGGGTAGAAATTGAAAATGGTCTCACTTGTCATTTCTTAGTGCCAGATGTCAGATTCTCTGTAAGAAAAGTTAAGGTAAAACTTTTAAGCTATTTGTATTGAAAACTATTATTATTCCTGGCTCCTTGAATATATTCTAATTACCTGAGGACATGTTCCTTCTCTCCATACCTTATTTTCTTCTGTAAAGTAAACAAAACAAACCCTGCTAATTCCAATCCCATTTAGACGTGAGAAGAGAGAACTGAATTTAAAAGGTTACCTGAACTCTTAGCTAGAGAGATACTATGAATACAAAGGAATTCTTCGTATATTATTGTTTGTGCATCAGCATCTTGCATATATTTGGAAATCATCTCTCTCTTCACCTCCACCCTCCTCAGATTGCAAAAAAGCCCCGTGGAGGAGGTAGTAAGTAAATGGAATAGAACCCTCTGCCTTGCCTTCCTATGCTATCCAACTACCGCAGAATCCAAAGTGAACATGAATTATAGCAAGAGAAACCTAATTTATGTTTAAGTCCAACTAATTTGTTCTTTATTCAGTAGTTTCTGCCTCCATTTATATGCCCTGAATCAACACTGGTAGTTATAGGATCTTAAGGCTTGAAGAGACTGTCCATGGTTTTTTAGCCTGTTTTCTTACTCTTGCTCAAAATTACACCTCAGATTAGAATATTTTTTTATTCTTTAATATATACAGGGAAAAAAACCACCACCCCTTATCTTTCTTTAGTAATCTTCTAGTATCATACAGTCCTAACAGGGAGATAGCTCGTTATCGTAGATTTACTGAAAGAGTTTAAGCCTTTGAGCCAATGTTTATGGACACATTTCCCTGAGTGACCTGATTAGAGAGAGAGGAAAAGGTTCATTAATACTTCTTTTCTGTTTAGGAAAGAGTGTTGGAAAGTAAGCAAATATCAAATTTCACTAGATTCTTTCTAGCAGACAGAGATGTCCTAATTTTTTCTTATTACTCCTATCAAACAGTAACCTCAGACCTCATTAGGGGAAGGTGTAGCATGTGTGAGAGCAGACATCTGAGTATCATGAGGCCAGTTTTAGGCTGTTTGTGATTCAGGGGCTACCTCACCCTCACCATGCTGGTCTTTGAATGATCTTGGAAACTTCTGCTCAGAACCATAGAGTAATTTTAGTAGAGGAAATACACTTTTGAGAATATGAAACTGCCAATAGTGGCAGCAAAAGCAGGAGATATGATACCATTCCTGAAATGCCAATTTGTCTACTCTTTCTATTGCTTGTGGTTCCCTGAGTGGGACACAAGTTACTTATTCCAGCAAAACTGACATGGCGGGTTATATGGTTATGCATATGCTAGAGGTTATAAAAGGAATTTTGAATGCCCATTTAAAAATTTCTTAAGAGGGGAAAAAAGCTAAATTTGTCTTCCCTGTTTTTTGACAGTAGACCAGAATTTGGTACAAGTGAATTATTCTGCAGCAGAATCCATCCTGTGCTAGGACATCCAATAATGCTTTTCATCCCTGATGACGTGGCTGAAATGGGCTTGTCGAGAGAGCTGATACTGACTCCAGCTGCTGCTCTGTGTCCCTGCCCGAAGGTCTTTTCCAACCAGCTGAATAGGATTTCTTCAATTTCCATATCCTTTTGATGACAGAACCCATCCAATTGTCTTTGAAAATAGATTTTTATATCCCAATTCTAGAAGAACCTTTAGCATATAAACTTTGTGTCTAGAAGCTGGTATGATTTGTATAAAAACAAAAATCCATATGAAAGCCAAGCTTGAGAATTTTTCTAAGAAACCGAAAACTATAAAATGTGACTCATGTGCCGCATTCTTTTCATATAATCCAATATGACTGAAGCATGGAATGAATGGTGTAAGAGGGAGAGATGAGGCTGGAAAAGTAGTTTGGAGTTGAATATGGTGGATCTTGAGTTCACACTGAGTGTGAACTGTATTCTCCATATAATGGGAAACCATTGAATGTTTTAGGAGTCTCCAGCTGCATTGTACAGGATGGATGGGAAATAGAAGTCAGTAGTCACTAAGTAAATAAGTAAGTGAACTGGGCAATAGATAACAAGTGCCTGAATTAAAAGTGTGATGAGCATGGAAAGGAGAGACTTATTACTGGAAGGAATCAACATAATGAGGTAACCAATTTATTGTTGGGGTAAGGAGAGATTAGAGGCAGGGAATGGCTCAAGTTGGTATCAAAATTTCCATATCCAGGGGCCGGTCCTGTAGCATAGCAGTTAAGTGTGCACACTCCGCTGCTGGCGGCCCAGGTTCGGATCCCAGGCGCGCACCAACGCACTGCTTGTCAGGCCATGCTGTGGCGGCGTCCCACATAAAGTGGAGGAACATGGGCACAGATGGGCCGGTCTTCCTCAGCAAAAAGAGGAGGATTAACACAGATGTTAGCTCAGAGCTGATCTTCCTCACAAAAAAAAAAAAAAATTTCCGTATCCAGAATAGGCAAATCTATGGATACAGAAAGTAGATGGAGAGGGATTCTTTTTGGGGTGATAAAAATATCATAATCATAAAATTTATGGTGGTGACAGTGCACAACTCTTTGAATATATTAAAACTCATCTCATTGTACACTTTAAATGGATGAATTGTATGGTATGTGAATTAAATCTCAAAGCTGTTAAGAAAGATTTCCATAGATGACTGACAGAATGATGATACTGTCAACAAGATGCAAATCATAAATAGTAGATTTGGGGCTAAAGAAGATTAGTTTGGCTTTAAACATGTTGAGTTTACGGTGCCTGCATGACATCCTTTGAAAATGGCAAGCAGCTATGTAGAAATTTTGGTCTGGAATTTGGAAGTGGTCATATTTAGAGATTTTAGAGCCTCAGAGTTTTCTCCTTAGGTAAGTATAGTATAGTGCTGTAGTTAGAGCATGGCACAGGAGTGAAATGCTGGATTACCCACTAATTAACTGTGTAACTTGAGGCAGCTTACTCAACCAGCATAAGCCTTTATTTCCTCAGCTTTAAAATGGGGATAATAATGCTTACCTCATAGATTTATTTATTTTCCCTTGCAAAATAAATTCTCTTGGGGTTTGTTTGTTTGTTTAGGATTAATTGTATAATAATCCACATGAAGCTCTTAGCATACTACCTGACAAATAATAAGTGTTCAGTAAATATTAGGTATTATTATTATTATATGATTGAAGGTATAGGAGTAAATGAAGTTATAATAGAGTACAAAGAACAAGAACAGGGGCCGGCGCCACGGCATAGCAGTTAAGTGCACGCGCTCTGCTGCTGGTGGCCCTGGTTCGGATCCTGGGTGCGCACTGATGCACCGCTTGTCAGGCCATGCTGTGGCGGCGTAGCATATAAAGTAGAGGAAGATGGGCACGGATGTTAGCCCAGGGCCAGTCTTCCTCAGCAAAAAGAGGAAGATTGGCATGGATGTTAGCTCAGAGTTGATCTTCCTCACAAAAAAAATAAAGTAAAAGAACAAGAACAGAAAAGGACCAAGGTCATGGTATGATAAATGTCAGCTGAGAAATTTTTTAGGCAAGTGGAAGGAGCAGGATAGTGATAAAGACTGTGCATGGACATTTTGTACTTTAAAACATGATTTTTCTTCATATCTAGATCATACAGAAGAGTATAAGGTAAAATATACAAGTTCTTCTTCATCCTCATCCTATTCTCCAGAGGGAATAAGACGAATTTTCTATCCTTTTAGAGTTGACATTTTAATGGGAAAATTTAACAAATAAATAGATGTCAGGCGGTGATAAGTGCAGTAAAGATAAAATAAAGCAGGTGAAGAGATAGAGAACAATGAAGATGTTATTTTAAATATTATGGTCAGTGAAGACTCTAGGGAAGTGATGTTTTAGTGAAGAGAGAGAGCTAGCTATGAAAACTCTGGTGGGGTTTTGGTTTCTGAAAATGGCAAACGAGGTAATTTAGACCAACCTTCCCAGTGAAGACAAAGGCTAGATGAAATATTAAAACATTCTAAAAGTATCTAAGAGCTGGTGAATACAGAGGAATTTCTGGGCCATGATTTATGAGAGAAAGGAATTATAGAAAGACGAGCCCAGCATTGGGGTCTGCTTTTGCCCTGGGGTCATTTGCCAATTAGAGCAAGCAGCTAAGAGGCTAAAATGCACTTCTGAATCAATGCAGGACAAGAGGGGGTACTATTAAAAACATCTCTTGTTTTGGGTGGGAATAACTAAAAGGCTACACTTCAAGGAGTAAGGTGAAGTTGAAATAAGTCATCCTTCACATGAACTGCATATGTTTTTTGGGTCATATAGGCAGGCCAGAAAATGTGAAACTTTGAAATTGGATTAAGATGATTCTAGATTGATAATTCTCCCAGATGCCTTGTAGAAACAAACAAAAATTCTTTCTGGAGGAATATAACTGCATTTATGATTCAAATTATTTAATAAATACTTTCTTAAATACAGTGTCCAGCTCATATGCACACACAGATGCACACACGCGCGTGCACACACACACACACACACACACAAATAACCAGGTACAAGAGAGGACAAGGTAACATGAATAAGAGCTAGCAAAAACAAAGACAACAGAAACATCCCCTGGGACTCCAGATATTGGTTATATCAGACGTCGATTTTAAAAATAAAAACTATGTTTACTATGTTTATGAAAATGAAAGCCAAGCTGAAAACTACAAAATGTGACATAAGTTTTAGAATAACCAAATAGAAATTGTAGAACTAAAAAATACAATAACCAATAATGAAATTCAGTAGGCAAGACAGCAAATTAGACACAGTCTAAGTGAATTTGCGAAGTAAAAGATAAGGATAGCAAAAACTTAGCAAAATAAAGCAAAGAGAGACAAAAGGATGGACAATACAGAAGAGAGGTTAACAGTGAGACAGTATAATATATGTTTAATTCATGACCCAAAGGAGAAGAGAGAAAACGGGGCAGAAACAATATTTGAAGAGTTAATGGCTGAAGCATCTAAAACAGATTTAAAAGCTCAGCAATCAAGCAGGATAAATAAAAATATATCCATACCTGTAGAAGATCAAAGACAGAGAAAAATCTTAAAATCAGTCAGGGAAGACAGATTTTCTTCAAAAGAGAAACAAATTGACAGCTGACTTCCCTAAACCAAAAGAAAGTAGTAGAATAATAGTGTTAATGAGCTATAATAAAATAATCATTAACCTAGAATTCCATACCCAGTAAAAATATCCCTCAAGATAAAAGATAATGACCCTATCTGTATATTATATTAATGTCATAATCCATACAGTCAGAAGAATTAATTCAACTGACTTTAGAATGTAGTGGTTTTTTTTTATTGTGGGAACATGAGTTTATAACATTATATAACTTTCAGGTGTACATCATTATATTTCGATTTCTGTATAGATTACATCATGTTCACCACCCAAAGACTAATTACAATCCATCACCACAAACATGTGCCTAATCATCCCTTTCACCCTCCTCCCTTCCCCTTTCCCCTCTGGTAACCACCAGTCCAATCTCTGTCTCTATGTGACTGTTGTTGTTTTTATCTTCTACTTACGAGTTAGATCATATGGTATTTGACTTTCTCCTCTGACTTATTTTGCTTAGCATAATACCCTCAAGATCCATCCATGTTGTCACAAATGGCTGGATTTCATCATTTCTTATGGCTGAGTAGTATTCCATTGTGTATATGTACCACATCTTCTTTATCCGTTCGTCCCTTGATGGGCATCCAAGTCTTGGCTATTGTGAATAATGCTGCAGTGAACACAGGGGTGCATGTATCTTTACACATTTGTGTTTCATGTTCTTTGGATAAATACCCAGCAGTGGAATAGCTGGATCATATGGTAGTTCTATTCTTAATTTTTTGCTGAATCTCCATACTGTTTTCCATAGCAGCTGCACCAGTTTGCACTCCCACCAGCAGTGTATGAGAGTTCCCTTTTCTCCACATCCTCTCCAACACTTGTTTCCTGTCTTGTTAAATATAGCCATTCTGATGGGAGTGAGTTGATATCTCGTAGTTTTGATTTGCATTTCCCTGATAGTTAATGATGTGGAACATCTTTTCATGTGCCTGTTGGCCATCTGTATATCTTCTTTGGAGAAATGTCTAGAACATAGTGTTTTGACTGTACATTCTTGGTGGGATAACTCTAAGGATGAAATGAACTGCAAAGAACTCTTAATTCATTCATTGGTCTTGATTCTTAGTAATAATATTGGTATTATTGTATTGAAATTGTTGTATGCATACTTATTATTAAACAAATATGTAATTATATTAACATTGGTAGGAAACCAAATTTTTAGCATAAGGTAGAAGATATAAGTGTAAATTCAAATAAATAAAAAAAATTTTTAAGTAATCTTAAAGTAGAATTGAACATACCAGTATGAATCACCAATTTTTCTGACTTTTAAAGTTATGTATTTTTTAGCTTTGTCCGCTAAAGAAAACTTAGAAGCAGTGAGCACTCCCACTGCCTAGAATGTGTTCTCTAAATGCCATTGCTCACTAAAAAGGAGAAATGGCTTATTCTAGGCCTCAAGTAGAAATATACAAGATGAGCCTGGGTATCCTGTTTAGCCAGAAGGCAAGGAAGCTATCAAAGGCCAATGAGATTATGTCAAAGGATTTAGGAACTTCCACTTCCAGCCATGATCAAATAACAAGGACTGGATTCAACCTCCTACCTTGAACAACTAAAAAATGGACGAATCACATTAAACAACAGTTTTTATATATTACACAACAGATAGTGCAGGACAGTGATTCTGGAAAGAGGAGAAACAAACAAATGAACCCTACAATTGCCCCCACCATACTACCTAGAGAGAATTTCCAGGCTACAAAATAGGCGGGGGATGGATATCCAACTAGTATCTGGCAAATCTCTCTGAGTTGAGAAGACAAAGTTCAGAGTTCACGGAGGTCCAGGCAGCTATAATTTATAGAAAAGAGTACTGAAAAGGAGATAAATACACAGAGCCAGAGAGAGCTCCAGACAGAGGAGAATCCCTGGAGTGCACACAGAGCTGGGAATAATTTCTGTTCCTACCAGGCAGCATGGAAAACCTCGTATTTCATAAGGCATCAGGTGGAGTCCTAAGAAGGGTTTGCCTGAATGGTGGGGGAAAGTTAGCCCTAGCCTACAGGCTTCTCTGGTCCCACCTAACAAAGCTTTACAAAAGTAAGACCCAAAAGGCTCAAACTGTTTCCAAGTAACTTTATAGCGTCCCAGAAAAAAAAGTTCAAGAATATTTATAGGAGTACAGAAATATCCTGCACCCAACATGGTAAACTTTACAATGCTGGGCATCCAATAAAAAATTATTTGCCATGCAAACAAGCAGGAAAAATAAGACCCATAATGAAGGGGGAAAAAATTAGTCAATGGAAACCTATTAAAAAGAGGATGGAAAGCAAAGAAAAATAAAGGAAAATATATATTCTGGTCTCTTTAGCCTTGGTTCAGGGGACAAGAAAGGTTAGGCAGTGGTTCTTAACTGGATAATTTTGCCCTCAGAGGACATTTGGCAATGTCTGGAGACATTTTTGATTGTCATGGCTAGAGGGAGGGGTGCTACTGGCATCTAGTGGGTAGAGGCCAGGAATGCTGCTAAACATCCTATAATGCACAGGACAGCCCCTACAACAAGGAATTATCTGGCCCAAAGTGTCAATAGCGTTGAGGCTGAGTAACCCTGGGTTAAACGGAGGGTGAGAGTGGGAATGGGAATTCAAGAGAAAGAAACCATCTCAGCGGCCTGCCTTCCTTTGTCTTGGTTAGAGAATAGGGTTGGAGAAGGTGAAAAGTTTCCTTCTCAATCTGAATATACTCAAATACTTACTGGAAAATATTCCTTTGAAAATACTTCTATTCTAGCATGTATCACATTGTATTACAGTTTACTGGTTTTTATGTGTATCTCCCATACGATAAATATGATAACTTGAAGATCAGTATTAAATCTGGATATTTGTCTTTGTATCCCCAGAACTTAGTACAGTTATTAGCCTGTAGTACCACTCAAACCTATGATTGAATGAGTAAGATGAATAAATAAACGAATTGTCCCAATACTATAGCTGCAGCAGACACTCATTAAACCCAGAATAAATTTCTGGGGATTCTAGTGGCTCTATCTCTGGTGCCTCACACCTGTATTCAATGTGGAAAAGGCTTAATAGGTAATTGCCTAGCACACTAGTTTATTTCTGGGAGTGTGAACCAGGTCAGTGTTATGTTTGTTTTATGCAAATGAATACATAGTCATAAAAAACTAAAATTTGGCAGTTTTCTTTAGCAACTATACATATTTCTGTATGGACCTTCATGTCTGCCTCTGATATCGCCAAGTCAGGAACAGCCAACTACTACTGTCTTCAAAGATACCTTTCATTTCATTGACTGGAAGAAATATCACTTGTGTGTGGTGCCCAATTTGGATCTTAATTTGGATAGAGGTATATCTCCTTCTCTTTGCACAGGAATAAAGAAACATGGAGAATATTAGAGAAATGCAAGGAAATATAAATGGCAGGTATATATAAAAATAGGATCCAGTGATCTGATGGCCTAGGTTGTGGGGTGCAGGTGGGAGTCTGGCTAAGTTTAAGAGTGAAGTGAGAGTGCGGCCGGCCCTGTGGCTTGGTGGTTAAGTGCGCGCGCTGTGATGCTGGCGGCCCGGGTTCGGATCCCGGGTGTGCATCGAGGCACCACTTCTCTGTCCATCCTGAGGCCGAGTCCCACATACAGCAACTAGAAGGGTGTGCAGCTATGACATACAACTATCTACTGGGGCTTTGGGGGCAAAAAATAAAATAAATAAAATCTTTAAAAAAAAAAAAAAAAAGAGTGAAGTGAGATGAACAGGTGTCAACAGGCAAAGCCCCATCAGAGCCTAACCATCTTGGCATTACATGTTGATGCTGGTTCTCCCCTCACTTTGTCTACTGCCTCTTCTATTCCTGGTCCTCTTGAAGTAGTCAGTGGGCCTTCATCTTCTAGGGCCTTGTTCAGAGGTTTCTGTTGTACCTTAATCTGTCAACTCTGGGGTTTTAGAAAGGTTAGTAAAGGAGCAATGACATCTTTGAACTATTATGGAAGAGAAATGTTTCCTAATGAAATGAGAAAATCCACACAAAATTACTTAGAAAAATTAAAACACCACATAAATGCAAGGCAGGAGTATAAACCATTTAGGAACAAACCTAGGAAGTTGGCTGTAATATTTATGTAGCACCTAACCACATTAGCTTTGGGTGAATCATGCTGAAAGTTGGATGCTTAATAACTGGACCAGCAAATAAAACTGGGAAATAGGAATGTGCAACCATGAGCTGATGTCTAGGAGGTTTACAGTCTTGAGCATGACTGTCATTAGCTAGAATCCTTTGAGATTTAGAAGGTAGTCTGGTCACTTGGATCCTGAGGGTCCTGATGACCAGTAGGGAAGAGGTATTCTAGAGTTGTGACTGGCATGAGAAGATTGAAGCCTCCTGGAATGGGGAAGTATCAAGGGGGAATGATAGAATCTTCATTTAGGAAGTAAGCCTCGGGGTAAGGCTCTATTTTCTGGAGTTGGAATTTATCCCAGAGGGTGGAATGAAAGGGTGGTGTCCTTGGATAGGGTCTCTGGAGGTAAGTGGTTTTGTGAAGAATGTTTGGTCTTAACAGATGGGATGTTATGCCATCAGGGTTTTTGAATCTCTAGGGCTCTCCATATCTCCTTTTCTCTTGCATTTTTATTTTCGTTTTTTGTTGGTTTCCTTCATTTTTTTGCCAATTTGTGATGCCTGAACTTGCTAAGTTACCTTTGGAAATAAATAATGTAGAAAGTGTCCCCTCATCTCCCTTTCTCATTACTCTAAAGGATGGAACCAGGATCCACATGGAGATACTTCTCTATATGGATCTGGATGGAATTTAGGACTATCGTGATTTTATTCTAAAGGATCAAGGTGCTAGAAAGTGACCAGAGGGCATCAGATTACTTGGGAAAACAAATATCATATAGTATTCTGGCTAAGAGCAGATTTTAGAGTCAGTCTAAAACAGTTCCACTACTTACTGTCTCACGTTGGGCAATGTATTTAACCTGTCTATGCCTCTTTTCTTATCTGTAAAAGGGCATAAGAATAGGTCTTATACCATAGGGTTGCTGTTAAGTCTAAATGTTAAGATAGTACGGGCAAAGAATTTAATATGGTATGTGGCATGTAGTAAGCATTCAATACAAGTTAGCTGTTACCATTATCATTACTCAGGTTTGACTGTGACCTCTGCCTCTTACTAGCAATACCTACCTTAGAAAGTTGTATGAGGAATGAGTGGATTTATTGTATAATGCTTCTCAGTAAATTCTAAGGAGTGCTGTTTAGTTTGCATTTTGCACACTCAGTTGTTATTTTGATGTTCTTCCTGTGCGTCACTATTAATTTGCTTCCATCATGTGGAGAGAGAAACTGATTCAGGAGAAGGGAGTGTTCAAATTTAGCTCTATCTCAGATCCTTCTTTGTTTGAGGGATAGGTTCTTTATTTACTGCACATTTTGAGGGCTTTACTTATCTTAGAATACTGTGTAATAACTTATTCTCTAGATTTGGTGTTTCCAGATGTGAGTTATCAGGTGGAATCCAGTGAGGAGGATAAGTCTCAGAATATGGACCCCCAGGGACAAACTCTGCTGCTTTTTCTCTTTGTGGATTTCCACAGTGGATTTCCAGTCCAGCAAATGGAACTGTGGGGTAGGTATAGGAGAATGGGACTGCCAGCTTGGGTGTGTTTAAATGTTAAGAGAATAAAGAAAGGGAGACTTTATATGATGTATATATCTGAATTAGAATAATGAATGTCAATGAAAAACCTTGCTTAAATAAGTTAAACAAATTAAATGCTCTGTGGAAAAGATCTGTATCTTGAAGCGTCAGTTAAATGATGACATTCCCAGATTTGGTTGGCCGGAAATCAGTAGACACTTCCTATAATGCTCCCTACAGAGTATATTACTTTAGATGGGTGGTTCTCAACCTTAGCTGCACAATATATTATCTGGGGAGCTTCTAAAAAATGCCCAAACCTCACCCCCAGAGATTCTGATTTCCTTGGACTGAGGTGGGGCTCAGGTATCAGTATGTTTTTAAAGCTTCTCAGGCTTGAGGAGAATTCACTGCTCTGCTGCTTTTCCAGGTGGAATCAAGAAATGTTATTGGCCTTGCTTGGCCTTGATGCAACATCTCAAGTATAACATGAGGAGATGTGGGAGTGTTTTGGTATGAATGGCTTTGTGTGATTGCCACATAGACCTCTGGAAAGGGAGAAATTGTCCTTGTTCAGGCATACAAGGGAGAGCCTTTGGCGTTTATCTAACAGATGGGTGATAACCTGTTATCAGAAAGGTTCTCTCTGTTAGAGGTAAAGCAGTGATTTTGCTGTTTTGTGGTCCATGAAACACATGCATCAGAATTGCCTAGAGTATTTGAAAATGTGCAGTTTCCTGCGCCAAGGATTAACTCATTGTTTTGCTGTAATTTAAAAATCTGGTACCGCTGAAGAATCTGCATTTTTAACAAGATTCTCAGGTGATCCTTAGATATAGTAAAGTTTGAAAACCACTGAGTAGGGAGTTGGCTTATGCTTTTTAATCCAATAAACCCTGAGACATAAATTTAAGTATTTCTCAATGCCCTCCTAAACTCTGAGGGAAGTAGCAAGAAGTGGAGCTTATAAATGTCTGGGGAAAAGTTCAGAAGCCTGCCTTTTGGTGCTCCTGATTTGTTTCTGTGTTGTTCTTTCTCTGTGGGCCAGTGTTTTTTCCTGGGACTCTACTCTCCAGGCATTCCAATGATGTTTGGTGTGGCCCTGTTCCTGTGGCCTTGAGTCATAAGAGAAGTGAGACAGCGTATAACCTCAGATCAGAAGAGCTCACTTTGGCTGGTTCCAGCTATTTGTTGAACAAACCATTGTCAGCTGTGGGATTCTTCCTGCTGCCTGCCTTCCATGCCTCTCCTACCCTTTCCCAAGATGTATATATTCTTTAGGAGAGAATCACTGCTTTCCTGGGCTCTGGCTTGCAACTCTTTGTTTGAGGAGCTGGTGTTCTCTGGTGCCCCACTGTCCCATTCATTAAGGCCCTGGAATGGGAACATAGAAGAGACCCAAACTAATGAGGCTTCCAGCAAGGAAGTCAAAGGTGAGGATGCCCAGGGTCATTACCTGGCCTGTGCTCACATGGACAGAGACTGAAAAGAGAAGCAGCTTAGTATTGTGGAAAAGACTTTAGGGTAGAATCAAGAGACCTGACTTTAATTTTATTTCTGCTACCAAATTCCTCAATGATTTTTGGAAAGCAAGTCACATAAATCATCTGATCCTCCCTTTTCATGTATTTAACATGAGATTGTTAGACTAGGTGATATCAAAGGCCCTTCCAAGTCTAAAGACCCTCTTAAGACTTAAGATCTGTTATCTTCTGGCAGGTTTTGTTTTTTATTTATTTATTTTTTTTGAGGTCTGCTAGAGGGAGCACCTTATTCAGTCTTCCCTAGGATGACCTAACATCTGATACCATGTTCGGAATCCTGTTGAACATACCTCAAGCACTCAGATTCCTCAGAAACCAGTGTTACCTATCATTCTTACAGTACTGTGATAGTTTCTGTTTAGCTTGACTCTGAAGGCCTGTAGCATCTCAGGTAGTTGTATTCAGTATTGGATTAAGTCCATCACTGCATTAGTAAACATAGTATCTTTTTAATTTTTATTTATTTATTTTTTCCCCCAAAGCCCCAGTAGATAGTTGTATGTCATAGCTGCACATCCTTCTAGTTGCTGTATGTGGGACGCGGCCTCAGCATGGTCGGAGAAGCGGTGCGTCGGTGCGCACCCGGGATCCGAACCTGGGCCGCCAGCAGCGGAGCGCGAGCACTCAACCGCTAAGCCACGGGGCCGGCCCACATAGTATCTTTTTAAATTTCCTTACACATTTGGTAGTTTAGGACTAGCCTTTGAAGAATATGCACTGTGAGGGTAAGTAGATTTAGATATGTGGATATAGCTATAGTAATTCTGTCTTCTTTTTCCCCTCTACTTTCTCATATCCTTGGAAGCTTTCTCTAGAGCTCCTTTTAGGAAACAGATTGTGCAGAACAACAGTCTGTTTCCATGTGTCTTTAAAAAATCACTTAATTGGCCTTCTGCCCACCTAGTCATGGTAACTTTTGTATGATTACCCATTATTTTGCCACAGAGTTAAAGGCTTCTAGTGATATCAGCAGTTTTAGAAATGAACTTGTAGCTTTTTAATTAAATGTCTGCTTTCAAAAGAGGTCTAACTGATTTCTTGAGACTATTCTTAGGACCAAACTGTAAAAAATAGTAATCCAGATGATATCATAGCAACAGTGATATTTTCCCTTTGATTATTACAATGTACATTTCAAAACACTTCATATATATTATTCCAGTTTATCTGCACAACATACCTGTGAGAGCAGGTGGTATAAAGCCACTTTCTGTACTGAAGTGAGAAAAGTGAAGTGACTTGGTCACCACTAGTTGGTGGTAGAATTGACCCTAGAATCTATGTTCTCCTGACTCCAGTTCCAGACCCCTGTTGAGCAGATGACATATTACCTTCCCCTCCAGGAAAGCATCATGGTGCCTCGTGGTAGATAATGTTCCTTCCATTTATGGTTTCCTTTGTCGTGCAGAAGCTTTTTAATTTGATGTAGTCCCATTTGTTTATTTTTTCTTTTGTTTCCCTTGCCTGAGGAGGCATATTCAAAAAGATACTACAGGGGCTGGCCCAGTGGCGCAGCGGTTAAGTGCGCGTGCTCCGCTTCAGCGGCCCAGGGTTTGCAGGTTCAGATCCCGGGTGCACACCAACACACTGCTTGTCAAGCCATGCTGTGGCGGTGTCCCATATAAAGTGGAGGAAGATGGGCATGGATATAAGCCCAGGGCCAATCTTCCTCAGCAAAAAAGAGGAGGATTGGCATTGGATGTTAGCTCAGGGCTGATCTTCCTCCTCCCCAAAAAAAGATACTACTAAGACTCACGTAAAAGAGCGTACTGCCTATGTTTTCTTCTAGAAGTTTTATGGATTCAGGTCTTAGATTCAAGTCATTCAAGTCTTTACTCCATTTTGAATTAATTTTTGTGTGTGGTGTAAGATGTGGTCTATTTTCATTCGTTTGCGTGTGACTGTACAGTTTTCCCAACACCATTTATTGAAGAGACTTTCTTTTCTCCATTGTGTGTTCTTGGCTCCTTTGTCGAAAATTAGCTATCCATAAATGTGTAGGTTTATTTCTGGGCTTTTAGTTCTGTTCCATTGATCTTTGTGTCTGTTTTTCTGCCAGTACCATGCTGTTTTGATCACTACAGCTTTGTAGTATATTTTGAAATCAGGGAATGTGATACCTCCAGCTTTGTTCTTTTTTGTCAGGATTGCTTTGGCTATTTGGTGTCTTTTGTTGTTCTATATAAATTTTAGGATTCTTTGTTCTATTTCCATGAAAAATGACATTGAGATTTTTTTCCCCCCCAAAGCCCCAGTAGATAGTTGTATGTCATAGCTGCACATCCTTCTAGTTGCTGTATGTGGGACGCAGCCTCAGCATGGCCAGAGAAGCGGTGCGTGGGTGCGCGCCCGGGATCCGAACCTGGGCTGCCAGCAGCGGAGCACGCGCACTTAACCGCTAAGCCACAGGGCCAGCCCGACATTGAGATTTTGATATGGATTGCATTGAATCTGTAGATTGCTTTAGGTAATATGGACATTTTAACTATGTTAATTCTTCCTATTGTGAGCATGGAATATCTTTTCATTTCTTTGTGTCTTCTCAGAATGAAAAGACAATCTACCAATTGGGAGAAGATATTTGCAAATCATATATCCGATAAGGGGTTAATATCCCAAATATATAAAGAACTCATATAACTCAACACCAGAAAAATAAACAACGTAATTAAAAAATGGGTAGAGGATCTGAACATTTTTCTCAAGAAGATATACAGATGGCCATCAGGCACATGAACACATGTTCAGCATCACTAATTATTAGGGAAATGCAAATCAAAACCACAATGAGATATCGCCTTATGCTCGTCAGAATGGCTATTATTAAAAAGACAAGAAATAACAAATGTTGGAGAGGATGTGGAGAAAAGGGAAACCTCATACACTGCTGGTGGGAATGTAAATCGGTGCAGCCACTATGGAAAACAGTATGGAGATTTCTCAAAAAATTAAAAATAGAACTACCATATGATCCAGCTATTCTGCTTCTGGGTATTTAGCCAAAGAACATGAAAACTCTAATTCAAAAAGATATATGTACCCCTATGTTCATTGTAGCAATATTCACAATATCCAAGACTTGGAAAAAACCTAAGCGCCCATTGACAGATCAATGGATAAAGAAGATGTGGTGTATATATGTATAATGGAATACTATTCAGCCATAAAAAATTAAATCTTACCATTTGCAATAACATGGATGGACCTTGAGGGTATCAGGCTAAGCAAAATAAGTCAGACAAAGAAAGACAATTACTGTATGATTTCACTCATATGTGGAAGATAAACAAACAAACACATAGATAGAACAGATTGGTGGTTACCAGAAGGGAAGGGGAGGTGGGGAAGAGTGCAAAAGGGGTAAAGGGGCATATTTGTATGGTGACAGATGACAACTAGACTTTTGGTGGGGAGCCTGATGTAGTCTATACAGGAGGCAAAATACAGTGATGTCCACCTGAAATTTATACAATGTTATAAACCAATGTTACCTCAATAAGAAATGAAGTTTAATTTAATTTAAAAAGAGAAAAATGTTCCTTTTGTCTTGCATTTTTAATGCAGCCCTCAGAAAAGCCAGCCAGCCTTAGGCTGCTTCATCATAGTACCTTTGAACAGACTATCCAACGGAGAGTAGAAAAACACTGAAAAAAGAAAGATTAATTAATAAGTATTTTCTCCAGGTGCCCTATAAAGTGAATTTTTCTGTGTCTGTTACATCAGGATCATCAATACTAGCCTATTGTTTGATGACATATTTTGCCCGTCGCTTTCACATGTTAGCTTTTCTGAGTGATGCTGAGCAGTGGTGCCTATGGTTACTTTATCAGAGATAGTCCCCCATTTAAGAAGACCTTATACCAGCAGTTCTCAGTCACCTTTTTTTTTTTTTTTTAGAGTAGCAGATTTTAATACTGCACTTTCAGTAATTGATAGAACAACTGGACAAAAATTATAAGAATACAGAAGATTTGAACAGCACTATCAACCAACTTAACCTAATTAATGTTTATGGAACGCTATATCCTACAACTGCAGAATACTCATTCTTTTCTTTTTTTTTTTTTTAATTTTTTGTTTATTGCAGTAACATTGGTTTATAACATTGTAAAAATTTCAGGTGTACATCATTGTACTTCTATTTCTGCATAGATTACATCATGTTCACCACCAAAATACTAATTACAACCCATCACCACACACATGTACCAAATTATCCCTTTCACCCTCCTCCCTCCCCCCTTCCCCTCTGGTAACCACCAATCCAATCTCTGTCCCTATGTGTTTGTTTATTGTTGTTATTATCTACTACTTAATGAAGGAAATCATATGGTATTTGACCTTCTCCCTCTGACTTATTTCACTTTGCATTATACCCTCAGTGTCCATCCATGTTGTCACAAATGGCTGGATTTCATCGTTTCTTATGTCTGAGTAGTATTCCATTGTATATATATACCACAGCTTCTTTATCCATTCGTCCCTTGATGGGCACTTAGGTTGCTTCCAAGTCTTGGCTATTGTGAATAACGCTGCAATGAACACAGGGGTGCATGTACCTTTGCAAATTGGTGTTTTCAAGTTCTTTGGATAAATACCCAACAGTGGAATAGCTGGATCATATGGTAGTTCTATCCTTGATTTTTTGAGGAATCTCCATACTGTTTTCCATAGTGGCTGGACCAGTTTGCACTCCCACCAGCAGTGTATGAGAGTTCCCTTCTCTCCACATCCTCTCCAACACATGTTGTTTCCTGTCTTGTTAATTATAGCCATTCTGACGGGCGTGAGGTGATATCTCATTGTAGTTTTGATTTGCATTTCCCTGATAGTTAGTGATTTTGAACATCTTTTCATGTGTCTGTTGGCCATCTGTATATCTTCTTTGGAGAAATGTCTGTTCAGGTCTTTTGCCCATTTTTTAATTGGGTTGTTAGTTTTTTTGTTGTTGAGATGCATGAGTTCTTTATATATTTTGGAGATTAAGCCCTTATCAGATGTATGGTTTGCAAATATCTTCTCCCAATTGTTAGGTTGTCTTTTCGTTTTGTTGATGGTTTCCTTTGCTGTGCAGAAGCTTTTTAGTTTGATGTAGTCCCATTTGTTTATTTTTTCTATTGTTTCTCTTGCCGGGTCAGAAGTGGTGTTTGAAAAGATGTTGCTAAGACCGATGTCGAAGAGCGTACTGCCCATGTTTTCTTCTAGAAGTTTCATAGATTCAGGTCTTACATTCAAGTCTTTAATCCATTTGGAGTTAATTTTTGTGTATGGTGTAAGGTAAGGGTCTACTTTCATTTTTTTGCATGTGGCTTTAATTTTTTGCATGTGAGTTTTAATTTTTTCCATACCACAGCATATCTGAAAGGATTGACACACTGATAGTGACAGTGGCTCGCCACAACAGTGATGCTCAAATAGGAACAGAGTAGGGTTAGACACACTCTCCAGGAGGCTTTCCCTCTTCCTCTTTCTCTTCTCCTTTGGGAGTCACCGCTATCTTTGTTTATAGTATGTGGTATATATCTCTGTTTCTGATATGAATTAAATAGCATCCTTCGTTTGTTTCTGCAAAAACAATGTCATTCTTCACTTTAATTTCCATGAGCTTTCTTTTATTTGTAAGTGGGAATTGGGTGAGTTTGTAAGTTGCTGGGGGTTTTTGTCTAAAAAAAAAAGTAATTATTTGTGGATAGTCAGAAGTGGCCTCTTCTTTCAAGAGGCCTCTTTCCCATTCCCAGCCCTGACTCACAGCACAGGAACAGCAGTCTTGAAGTGGTTGTTCTCACTCAAGGTTACCAACATTCTCCCTCCTCTTAGGAGTTCACACTCTGCTCACAACTCATCTCAGTGCCATCCTCATGGAGAGCCACAGCATGGTGCAAGATTCCATCGAGGTTGCCGTGGACCAGGCCTTGGAGCAGCATCACCAGGCTGCCAAGGTAATAAAAAATTCACAACTCCCTTTCTCCTACTCTCTCTAAGAAAAAGATAGCTAAAGTATATGGCAGACACGGCCTGAGAGCCCTTCCTCCCTTAATGCCTCTTCCTCTCATCTTTTGTCACCTGGGCTGATCTTGTACACTGCATCTGGCTTAGGAACTCAAGCTTTAACTTAGATGGGTCACTGTAACCAGCTTGCTTAGTCTTACCTCCTAGTAGGTGAGTTTGAGTAAATAAGGACAAAATAGTAGACAAAAATGACTGATAATGCACCTCTTCATTATCTATCTATCTATATATTTTTGTGTGTGTGTGAGGAAGATCAGCCCTGAGCTAACATCCACGCCAGTCCTCTTTTTGCTGAGGAAGACTGGCCCTGGGCTAACATCCATGCCCATCTTCCTCCACTTTATATGGGACGCCGCCACAGCATGGCTTGACAAGCGGTGCGTGGGTGCGCGCCCGGGATCTGAACCGGGCCACCAGCAGTGAAGCGCGCGCACTTAACTGCTACGCCACCGGGCTGGCCCCCTTCATTATCTCTATTAATCTCCCCTTCCCACACATACTTCTGGAGCAACTGCTTCTCTAAATCTTACATTCTCCCCCTATTTCCTAATCCTTTATAACATCACTTTCTTTTCTTACCTGACTTTCTGAATTCCTCTCCTGTGTACTTTCGGTAGCACATTTCTTAATTCTTATGGTTCCCTTTTCAGGGAAAAAGCAAGCATAGCAAGAAAGCAAAGCTTAAAGCTTTTGTTTTTAAATGGTAAGTGTATCTGTCATATTGCCCAGTGTCTTATTACTTATCTTTTCTGAATGTGTCTGTGTCAATAAGTCGTCTCTATGAAAGGAGAGAACATTTTTAATTTATTTCAATCCATAAGTGTCTTTTATATGTCATGACCTCAGTAAGTATTGTTGATGAGGAGGAAGAATTGTTGAAATCCTGCTCTGACTGAAATCTTTGGTCCCTTTGGGATTTTCTGAACCAGCAGCTTGAGATTATTATAAACTGTGGTCTCCCCCTTACTTGTTATGTTCCCTAGGCTCATCAGAAACTGCAGACCTCACTCTCAGTGGCTGCGAATTCCATCATGAGTATCGTGACTGGAAGCACCAGCAGCAGCTTCCGAAAGATCTGCTTCCAGGCCCTTCAAGTTAGTAGGAGATTGGGGATGCTTAAATGTGCCAGGGTTTTAACGACATTCTACTACCTAGCTTAGTAATATGTACAGTGCTTTCAGAAACATTATTTCATTTGATCCTCCTGTAATCCTACGTAGTACCAGGCCTTTGGTAAGTGTTTTAAGAAATATTTGTTGGGGCCGGCCCCGTGGCTTAGTGGTTAAGTGCGCGCACTCCGCTGCTGGTGGCCCGGGTTCAGATCCCGGGTGCGACCGACGCACCGCTTCTCGGGCCATGCTGAGGCCGCGTCCCACATACAGCAACTAGAAGGATGTGCAACTATGACATACAACTATCTACTGGGGCTTTTGGGGGAAAAAATAAAAAAAATTAAAAAAAAAAATTTGTTGAATGGATAGTGTTGTGTATACGATTTTATAAATGAGAAAACAAGTTATTTAAAATTTCTACTTCCTTTGGGTCATGTAGCTAGTTACAAGCAGAGCTAGGATTAGACCAGTAATTCCTAATTCCTTGTTAAAGAATGTTCTGTAGACTCATGGTGACAGAATACATTGGAAATAGCTGGGCAGCCATAAGTATTACGTGTATTTGGCAGTATGGAATAGTGTAACAAGTTTCGGAATTAGATGCCTGAGTTCAAATCTTGACTCATTTACTACTAGCTATGTGGACTTAGGCCTGTACTTAACTTTTCTATAAGTGCTTCATCTATAAATTGGAAAAAGTAATAGTACCTCACAGGGTTATTATGAGGGCGAGGGCTAAATGTGAACGTGCCTAGCACATGGTAGGTTGTCAATAAGTGTTAGTTTCTCTCCTTCTTTTCAAGAATATGTGCTGACCAATTGATATTATTGATATTATCAGTGGGGTAACACATTCATTCCATGTCTGTTGCTTCACTTTTTTGGTACGTTTTTCCTTGAAAAGATAGTATAAATTTTTTTTTCCCCCAAAGCCCCAGTAGATAGTTGTACGTCATAGCTACACATCCTTCAAGTTGCTGTATGTGGGACGTGGCCTCAGCATGGCCCAAGAAGCGGTGCGTCGGTACGCGCCCAGGATCCGAACCCGGGCCACCAGCAGCGGAGTGCGAGCACTTACCCGCTAAGCCACGGGGCCGGCCCGAAAAGATAGTATAATACACACAAAATTTTAAATAATAACTAACAAACTTTATCACCATAATTTAAAAATTTTTTTATTGATATTTTAATGGTTTTTAACATTGTGAAATTTTGGGTTGTGCATTTTTGTTTGTCCATCACCATATATATGACTCCCTTCACCCCTTGTGCCC